ACAGACAGAGAGAGAAAGAAAGACAGAAAGAGAGAAATCACCCCCTCCCCCAGGGGGGATGGCCACGCCGCAATCCCTTCTCCTCCATTCTCTTCTTGGGATCTTGGGCACGCACGCACACGCGCCCGGTGTGAGTTGAAGCCACCGGGTCCGGGACTCGAACCGCGTTCGACTACGTGGGATGCCAGCGACATAGCCGTTATGCTAACTGCTGGTCCCGAGGCCACACATTTTAATAGAACTTACTCCAGAACTAGAACTTAGATTCTCTCACACACTCAAGTATGTGAAGTTGAAGCTAAGCGAAAATAGTTTTCATGCAGTGCATTTGTTTATTTTTTTCTTTCTATTGGAAAAATTTAAGATGAGTGTTTTTCATATCTATTTGATACTAAAAAACAAGAAAACATTCAACTTTTGTTTTACTCTAATACTCTATATTTTATTTCTTATAAACCTAGGCTTCTCAACTTCCAAAGCTATAATATTCAAAGCATATAAGGCAGTGCTGTTGTACAAATAAACTCTATTTTCTAATTCAACAGACCCTAACACTAAATAAAATAAATTAACTATACATGATGAAATTTTAGCTACCTACACTAAAAACAATAATTTAGAATCCTAAAAAACACTTTTTAAATTATGGGGTGTATTATTTTCCTTTTTCAAAAATATAGAGGTCAAGTGATAGTACAGTGGTACTACAGATGGACCCGCATGGGGAAGGTCCCGGGTTCACATCTTGGCTGGTTGAGTCTAGGGTAGGTTGTGGCATGGAAACCATGTTGAGGGTGCTTATCCCTCTGTCTTTCTATCTCTGTCTCCCTCATGGAAGAAATAAGTAAACAAGTGTGTGTGTAAAATTTAGATTATTTGCCTGAATGTTGTTGTTAGTGGTGGTTCGGTGCAAACCAGTGGGAAGTTTGGTTGACCTGCCACCAAACCTGGAGGAAAGGTCACTGGATGATACAGCCTTGGTAGAGGAATACCAGCCCCATTTTTGCAGATTAGGATGTTAGAGCTGGGAGTTAAATAAATTGATCAGACTCAGAATTTTTCAGTAAAGTAGATTAAGGGCATATTTTTTCCCTATAGGGTGCACACACTTGCCAGAGAGAGACAAAGAGAAAGGAGGAAGGCAAGAAAGCGCCCCCCTAGGGAGGATGGCCAAACTGCAATCCCTTCTCCTCCAGAGTTCTCTCCAAATTTTGGGCACTCATGCACACGCATGCAATGTGTTTCTCAAGCTGTTGGGTCTGGGACTCAAACAGCTGAGTTGGCCATGTGAGAATCAAAACTTTAACTTTCATGTCACCAGCTGGTCCTAAGGGCATATTTCTAATGGTACAAGTACGAGGAAGCGTAAATAAGAGCAGAAATCCTGGTTTTACTAGAAAGATAAATTTCTTACCATCCAGTAAATACGAAAGCAGTGGAGAGATCTAGCCTCTCCAAGAGAGTGTGACTACTCTTCTGAGCAGGCAGTCACAGACAACAGAAAACCGCTGCATAGTCATTTAACAGCGATGTAAAATATACACCTAGGCTTCTGGAAAGCAGCATAGTGGAGTGAACACTAGCCCCAGCGTTGCATATGTGATAGCCTCCTCTAGCAGCCAGCTCTTCCCTGTGAACAGTAATCTTCCCTAGGCGCTACTAATTACAACAATAAAAACATGTTTTCTTTGCCCAGTTCTTGCTAGTCCCCACTGTCCGACTTTGGCATTTCTCCACCTCTCCATCTCAATGGTCTCTGCCATTGCAAAACACTCATGATTAAATAATGCGACTGTTTGAAACTCAGGTGCCGACATTTGGTATATAAAGCAGGACCAGCTTTATGTAGATTTAAATAAGCTGGGCTATAAACTATGTAGTGTGACTTGAGGTAACAAAAAAAAAAAATCCGCCCTTTCAATGCATGCATGTACACAGTGCATGTACACAAGCCTACCTGTTCAGGAGTGTGTGGCCACATGCAATGACTCACTATTTCACGGGCTCCTGGTGTTGCTTTGCAATGTAATCACATGGATAACCATGTTAAGTGTGTTATTTTTAGAGAGAATTTTGCTATAGGGCCATGTGCTTGCCGGAAAGACAGAGACAGAAATAGAAAGCGAGAAATCACCTCCCAGGGTGGGTGGTCACACTGTAATCCTTTCTCTTCTATTCTCCTCTCGAGACTTTGAGTGTGTGCCCACATGCCCAGTGTGAGTTTTAAGCCACTATGTTCGGGACTCGAACTACGGTCAACTATGTGGGCGACCAGTGATGTAACCATTATGCCATCTGCTGTTTTAGGTTAATGAATGTTCTCATTTTAAATGCAACTATAAAATCCGTAAACTGTGGGGCTATAGGTCTGTTTTTCCTATATAAAACAGAGCTGGGAAATGGGTTACAGGTGTAAGATGATAGGAATTTCTTATAATGACAAACCCTTTAAATTATTTTTAAGAATTATGTATGAATTGACAAAAGTTGAAGTTAACCTTGAATGTTGCTCTTAACAACTTCATGTACAAACGTCCTAAATTCTAAACTGACTCCAGCAGGTATGAGTTTATGCCTACCACCTACCACTAGAGGGCACTTTGTCATGATTATACCACATAGCATTTTCCCCAAATGTACAATACAGGGATTGTCTTTTCTGTGTGTGCCATGACACACATGCAAAGATTATTTTGTAAGATTCTTTTTCATAGATGATTTATATATCAGATATTATCACTTTCTGTCATATAATAACGAAATTTAAAACACCAATAATAACAAAAAAGAAAAGAAAAGAAAAGAAAAAGAATCTTAGAATAAAAAAGTCCTTTAGAACCGTCCAGGTGGCATGGGTAAGATGGCTGGATCCCACATGGCTGCCTGTGCAGCTCAAGCCTTGGACCCAGTGACTTGAGAAACATGCCAGGCAACTGTGTATGTGTGACCAAAATCCCAAGGGGAGAATGAAGAAGAGATTGTGGTGTGGCCATTTCTCAACTGGGGGTGCTTTCTCACTTTCTCTCTGTCTCTCTGTATCTCTCCAGCAAGCACATGTGTCCAATAACAAATTAAATTTTTAAAAAGTCATTTATATTGAGTACATTTAACATTTAGAAAAACACACTACATTGTCTTTATTTTTATTTCCCTGTTTTTTCAAGGACCTAACAAACTTCATCATGAGCCATTATTGAGCTGATAAACACTGAAAAGAGATTACTTAATAAAGGCAATTGGATGAGACCAGCAGGTGGTGTAATGGCTATGTCACTGGACTCCCACGTAGTCGACCATGATTCAAGTCTCAGACCTGGTGGCTTAAACTCATGCCGGGCACTTGTGCGTGCATGCCCGCGATCCCGAGAGGAAGATGGAGGAGAAGAGATTGTGGCATGGCCATCCCCCCTTGGGGGTGATTTCTCGCTTTCTGTCTCTCTGTCTCTGTCTTTCTGGCGAGTGCATGCGCCCTATAGCAAAAACCTCTCCAAAAAAATAAATAAATAAAGGCAATTGGAGATGAATATTGAGCTAAAAGGTGTTGGGGGAGCTTGTGTGATATCTGCAGAACTTGCATATTACTCTCCAAGTTGTATTTTGTGCAATCCAATATTAAACTTAATTTGCCTTACTTAAGTATAATCAGAAAGCACGTAGTTAAAGCACGATGGTAGATGCTAACGATTCATAAATGAGTAAGAGTATTTTCCTCTGTATTTGAGGAACTCAGAGGAAAAATAAACATTCAATAACATAAATTGAGGTTAATGAGATTAGTGATATAATAAAAGTATATGCTCAACTTAGAGATAGTACAAAGTTATTACCTGGGAGGAGGCAGAGGGTGGGGGGAAGCTCTTGCCATTTTTGAAATCATAAAATGACTGACCTCTAATGTGAATTCAGATTTCCCCAAAGTCACTTTTTTTGGCCTATAGAAGCCCTTCTAATCACATTGGGGGCCTTAATGCAAAGAGTATTTCCAAATTTAGATTCCAAAATAACTATAATTTCTTTTTGACTTTTAATTGCAGTTAAGGAATTTTCATCCTTTCTTTCTTGTTATGGAACATTTTTCAATATTCCTATCCCATTAAAACTCATTTACAAATGGAATTTTACTTGATTAGATTCTGATTTGGTTATATAGTTCCCATTTTATATAGTAGAAGGCTTAGATTAAATTTTTCTTCAAATGGGAGGAGTGGTAACTTATAACTTAGTAAACTAAGTAAAAAATGCTTAGATCACCTGCTGCCATGTCATTGAAGAGGCCAGACTCAAAGACTGTAGCCCAGACACTACACTAGGGCCTACATCTTCTCTGGATCATTGACTCACATCCTCTATACTCAGCTGTGAAAATGTGACTTCAGATATTATCTGGTGGCATAGGCTATTCACTATAATTACGCATGATCCATGCTTCAGCCCTACTTGGAAACATACCTGTGATTGGCCTTTAAAAACAAGATGAATCCATAGATTCAATAGAACCATAGCAGTTATTTGTGTAGAAAACACTGCAAAGAAAAATACATTTGAAAATTGCTCTGCTTTGACTCTTTAGTGTAATTTTTACATGTTACTTAATGACTTCCTGAAGATTTATAATTGCTTGGCAGATACATTACACATTTCAATTTTAATATGAAATATTGTTCTCAATTTCAGAATTATGGCACTGTTCCTTTTTAATTTTTGAGTGATAGGAAAACCAGGGTTTTTTTTTTTTTTTCATGAGAAAATTTCATGTTATCATTACGAAAGCATCCTATTTTTTAATTAAGTCACCCGAAAAGATGTTTTTCTTTGTATGACTATTAATAACTTAGAAAACTTTATACAATACACTGACAATTACTGATAATTGCTAAGAAGCTATTCTAAGAGTCATAAACCTGTGAGCTTGCAGTGCATGTAACAGGTGTTCCCACTCCCTGTGTCCTTTGTATACACATTCATTCTGTATTCAAATCACAGAAGCAAGAGGCAGGATAGGGTCTGTTACCTCACTGCTTATTTCCCTAGCAAATAAACCAGCAGCTGCTGGTCCATGAACCAAGTTGCCACCAAGAACAGGGTGCCGTATGCATGGGACACGATGCTTTCATGGAGCTCTTTGGCAGCATGGTTGGGGTCTTTCAAGGAAAAATCTACTTCCTCTTCTTAGGTAAGGCCCTCCATCATTGTGTCTTAACTGTTTTGTTTTGTTGGTTGTTTTGTTTTGTTTTGTTTTCATTGTGAGCATAAGGTACATATTTTCTTTAGGCTACAGATTCACTCAGATAATTGAAGAGCGGGTCAGAACCTTTAAACAATAACACACTGTTCCAGCAAAGAAGCAAGAACATTTAGGAGAAATGAGGTTCAATAAATAATTATTTCCTTAAAACAATTATTGACCAATAGCACTCCTTATGAAAGTCAAGACATTCTAAAAATCTAATGAATTTCTTCTTTTATTTGAGTTTACATATAGGTTCAATAGGATCTAATGCATTTATTCTGGGAAATAGTCTAACAGGCCATGAAATTGTGACCACTTGGAATGAAAGACAACTTATGCAAATAGTTTTCTTTATCATTGGGGATATTGTTTTAATTAAAAATCTTGTTGATTCTACTTCATTTTAAATGATCTCTTATAAAATATGGAAAACTATGAGGTTCCAAACTGATTTTAAAAAATTAATACACAAAAAGGAGAAATATGTTAAAAAGGATTATTTTTCCAACATGCCTTTAGCTCTTCTCTTTTGGGCAATGGCTAGTCCTATTAAATTGTTCTTTTCTTGTACCTTAATACTTTTCTCTTATTCTCTTCTTTATTCTTAGAGTTTAAAGGAGTTTCTCTGTAACAGTTCGCTATTTTATATTAGCATTATATTCACCAGATCTCTTTCCATTCCTCCTATTTATCAGTTATAAAAGTCAGGTCAATTTTTTTGCTTTGTTTATATTCAACAGATGAAAATTCAAAAAAGTCTTTATTACTTACATTTTAAGAGAAACTTAGCTAAATAAGCAATTTAAGTTTTGGGTGTCTTTGCTTATTTTAAGTGGTACTTTCACTGCTATATGCGGCTACAGTTTTCATTGGAAATGTGACTTTTATTCAAATTTATACCTAACGTAACTATCCCACATATTCAAAATATATAATCTGTACATTTTTAAAAACTGTTTGAGTCGTGATTGCTTTAGTTACTGCAGTGTTTGTTATTAAATTCAAGCCTATAATAGATTTTTGGTTTTTGAAATTTTCTTTGAAAAATTAAACAATTACCTCAACTGACACTTTACCTTTGTTCACTTTTCTCAGTTTTCAAAATAACCTGTGTCAGTGCTCCACTTATTTTTAATTTTAAAACAAGGCTGCTGTATTTTATAAATGATGTTTGTTTAATTGGGTTTCAGAATAACTCCGAGACAATTTACTTGAGACATTTGCGTAAAGTAAAATTAAAATATACCTTAGAGAAATAGCATAGGG